CTCGAAAAACACGCTCACGAACGTTGCACATAAGTTCCAGCCAAATCGCTCCTGACATCGGCCACTTGAACCACAGCCTATTCAGCCCAAAAGCTAGCTGGAGTGCAAAAGGACAGCTTGTATCTCGGAGATTCCAAAAACCGTCCTTTTTACATGAAGAAATGTATGAAAAGTGCCCAACTTTGAGCCCCCCTTGCTCCCCCCGGATTTGACACTAGTCGCTCACATTTGAACACAATACGTGTCTCAACAAAACCGACCCGTATGCCAAATTTGAGAATTTTTAGTAGAGGTGACCCCAAATGTTTCAGAAAAGTTACCATAAAGACATATAGACTCTTATGGGCTCACCCCGGAGGCGCTCCTGAGTCCTCAAGTGAAACGTCTCTAAGGGAATACGTTCCCCCTTTGGAGTTGCAAACGAGCCCGAGCTAATAACCTGCACCTTGTTCGACCATAGTGTTGACAAGGGTTTGTCCCCACCCCTGACCACCCTTCTTTCCCGAAACCCCAATTGTTTAAACCCATTTGTTTATTGTTTTGTTTGCCAAAAATTAAACAAATCAAATAAAATCTAATTACCTTAACTCTCATGGCGAGGAAGCCCAAGAGAAGCCACCGGCCTTATAAGGAATGGGCTCCCTCAGTTAGATAATTAGAACAAAATATTATCATAATTACACACGGGAAAATCAATGGCAGAGCTACAGTAAATCTTAAAATAAGTATATTAGATAGTCGTACTAATCATAGTTCTAGGCTAAAAAAGTGAAATGACAAAAAGAAAAAAATACAAAAGAAAATAAAAGAGCAAAGGAAGAGAAAAAAAATATATATATATATATATAAATTGCTATTTATGATAAGAGGAATGCTTTCAGCTTACAGCAAAAGGAAGCGGTACTTGATGCATTTCGAATTTCAAAACTAAGAGAGTTAAAAAATTTAGGACCTTGGAAACTGATGGAGAACTTTCTTATATTAGTCCTGCATTGTGGTAAATAAAAATGCTCCGAACTTCTAGTGCCATAAGAATGCACCTGGCGTGCCACCAGAAACATGTTATTGAAGCTATAAGGAAGTAAGCCAGATCTGTATTGATACATAAATTTTCCTATTTGAAGTTTGTAGATACTCTCAAGATTCAGAATTTTAAATTTTTAAATAAGGGGTCAGTGTGAGCATCGAAAGCACTCCTCGACATTATTCTTACGACCCGTTTTTGAAGTGTGATTAATCTTCTGAGGTTTGATGGGTAGGTCGATGCCCAGACGCTCACGCAGTAGAATAAGTATGGGTAGATAAGGCTAAAATAAAGCATCCGTAAGTAGGAATTATTAAGGCAAAAACTTGATTTATAAATTATACCTATGGCTTTAGACACTTTCCTAGCAACGTTATGTATATGTGATTTCCATGTTAAATGTTCATCCAAAATTACACCAAGAAAAGTAGCTTCCTTAACATGGTCAATCGAATAATTACCAATATTAAAAGCTAAATCAAGTGTTTGCCTGTTTTGTCTCGGTCTGAATATGATAAAATTAGATTTCTTAACATTAATAGATAGCTTATTTGTATAAAGCCAACACGTTATCTTTTTCAATTCTAAATTTACAACTTCCATAAGATAGGAAGCATCAGTATGCGAATAGAAGATATTAGTGTCATCAGCAAATAGTATCAGCTCTAAGACCTTTCACACATTACATAGATCATTTATATATACTAAGAATAACAGGGGACCTAAGATAGATCCCTGAGGGACTCCGCAAGTGATATGTAATGATGAAGAGTTGTAACCATTATATTGCACAAATTGTTTTCGACAATATAGATAACTTTTAAACCATTGTAAAGCAATACCACGTACTCCATAATGTTCTAATTTGTCAGCAAAATTTCATGATTTACTGTATCAAAGGCCTTAGATAAGTCAATGAATGGGCCTAAAGTTACCCTTTTATTATCAAGTGCATTTGAGATCTTGTCATACAATTGGATTAAAGCATGTGCAGTAGAATAATTTTTTCTGAATCCATACTGATTTCGGGAAAGAATATCATATTTATTTAAAAAATTAATGAGGCGATTGTAGACGATTGTCTCTAGGAATTTAGAGAAAACTGGTAACACTGATACGGGTCTGTAATTTGTGAACAAAGATTTATCACCAGATTTAAACAATGGAATAACTCGTGCAATTTTCATCTCTTGGGGCACAACTCCAGAATTAAGAGACAAGTTAAATATATACGTCAATGCTGCGCAGATTAAGTTAAAAGACTCTTTAACAACATTCATTGAAATACTATCATATCCTGGAGCAGTACCGGATCGAAAGCTGCTACAGATCTCAGTGACTTCTTGTTCTGATGCCGATTGAAGAAAAAATGAATTAATAAACCCTCCGTTCAGAAAAGAACGATGAGATTTGTCAGACGCCGGAATCGATTTAGCTAAGTTAGGTCCAATATTCGTAAAATACTCGCAGAAACGGTTTGCTATATGAGTAGGATTACATATTTCTTCTTCATTAGATTTGAAGATGGAAGGCAACTTACACTTAATTTTCTTCTTGTTAATAAAATCGTTAAGTAATTTCCAAGTTGATTTTGCATTTGATTTATATTCATCTAACTTTTTATTGTAGTAGAGACGTTTAGCAACGCGAAGGGAATGTGTCAATTTGTTTTTATAACTCTTGTAAAGTTTCTCACGATATGGAGTTGGGTTAGCAAGGAAACGCTTGTATAATAAATTCTTTTTTCTTACCGATTTAAGAAGACCTTTAGTTATCCATGGTTTGCTCAAAGTAACATTCTTTACTTTCACTTTTTTGAGAGGAAAGCAGTCATTGTAAATGGTAGTGTATTTATCAAGAAAACACCGATAAGTGCAATCAGTATCTTTACATTCAGAGAATTCATCCCAATGAACGTTTGCAAGCCTATCTTTAACCTTAGCGACATTATTTCCACTTTTATCACGAAAAGAAAGCCAAGAAGTTTTATTTACGTTCTTGTTTTGATCAAGAAGCAGTGTGAAAATCGGAAGATGATCAGATATATCACAAAACATCAGCCCGCTAACAGATAAATTGTTTAAATTATTCGTGAAAATATTATCAATTAGCGTAGCCGTGTTAGAAGTTATTCTTGTCGGACGTGTGATCAATGGAAAAAACATTCTTGAATACATAGTTTCTAACAATTCTCCAGTTGTGTCGTGACAATGGTGGTTGATTAAGTCTAGATTCCAGTCACCTAAAACATAGCAAATCTTGTTTTCCTTAGAGATACTTGCAAGCAACGAATCCAGGCTATTCATAAAATCTCGTAAATTTGAATTTGGTGGCCTGTAAACCACACCTACAATTATATTTTTCTCTTTCGGCCTATTGATTTCCACAAACAAAGACTCAGCACATTCAGTGCAAGAAAAAACTAAGTCAGGTCGACATTTAAAATCAAAATTGTCCGCTAAATATAGACCTACACCTCCACCTGTCCTATCTTTACCGGGATTGTGGACAAAATTATAACCTGAGATATCGGTATGATGCAATGAGTCTCGAAGCCAGGTCTCAGTTATACCAATAAAAGAGAACCTCAACTCTATATTCTTTAGCAAAGTGGTTAAGGTATCCAAATTACGATGAAGGCTACGAATATTAAGATGCAGAAGCGATAAAGAATTATTGACTTCTAATATATTTTTCTGATGCAACATTTCATTGAAATTTTCTTCGGTATAATAGTCGCAGTCAACTAACTCCGTGAAGAAATTAGCATCAGGATCATGATGGCTAGAAAGGCTAAATTTTTTATATGTTTCAGATAATAAAGGATTAAACCTGAGACTAGCTAACCTATCGGGATCGTAACGTGTAGGTCCATTTAACTGCTCAAATATAGCCAAACGAAAGTCTTCTTCGTTTAACTGAATAAACGGTAATTCTGCCATTAATGAGTCGAACAAAAGACATGTTGCAATATAGTTATCTTAATCATTTGAAGAACCGGAGGGCTTATCACGAATGATCAAACGATCTAAGATAAAATATGCTGATTTTCCTGCTTGCTTGGCTGCCTTGAGCTACTCGAAATGAGGTTTCCTCTTTTCAAGCGTCGCTTGCAAAAGATCTTCGCAAATAAACAGTCCTTCTGGTTTTTCCTTTCTTGCCTTTCTTACTACAGCTTCTTTCTGCTTCCAACTACTCAGTCGGCACACAATAACTCTAGGCTTTGCATCAGCTTGGTGTTGATTGATTCCTCCAGACTTTCTACGCTCAACACGGTGAGCGCGCTCGATGTCAACTTCAATGTTGAGCTTCTCCTTGATGGCGTCCTAGAACCCTCTTGGAAAGGGGTCCTCCCCCATTGGGTCTTGGAACTCTCCGGAGTATCGGCCCTCCCTCTCTAGCATATCAGGGGATTGCGAAATTGCAGGGTACGAGGAATGGAGTCCACACCGTGTTTCAATGTTCAACAAGTTTTAATGACATTGCCTTATGAATGACATGAGTTGTGGCCCAAATAGGAAGAAAACTAAGCAACGCTGAGTCAGTTGACGAAAAAATACTGGATACTCTTAAGAAGGAAAGTGGAATGGTCAAAAGGTAGATGCTACTTCCTATTTCCCTTGGCTAACTGGCGGTTCACCTCCTCCTGATCGGCTATCAGCCTTGCCAGTGCGTCCTGGGGCTTGTCTTTATTCTTCTTCTTTTTCTTGTGTTTCTTCTTTGATTTTGTCTCAGCGTCCTCAGACTCTGGTAGTTTCTGGTTGTCGTTGGTGGTCGACCCTGGTGGCGGGCTAGGTGATGGCGATCGGCGCCTTTTCTTCTTATTCTTTTTCTTTGGCGGAGTGGTCTGGGTTATGAAGATCTCTGCTTCGTCTTCCGTGTCCTCGTCGACGTTTAGGACCTGTCTTCGCTTTTTGGCTATAGAGGGGTCGTTGAGGGGCCTTTTGTTCTTCTTGGCAGTCTTCGTAGATGTTACATTGTCCTGCGAGCACTCGTCTTTGTGGACAGGGCTGGGGACACATCGCATTTTTTTCCTGTGCCTGGCCAGCGGTTGCTCGTCTTCGTTATCGGAGTTAGGTAGGGCAGCTATGCCACTTACATCAAACGACGTTCTACGTCTCCTTGAAGTTGAACCTCTGTCAGCTCTGTCTGTCGAGGTGGAGGGCAGAGGGACACGTCTTCTTGACGTTGATGGTGCAGGGTGAGATGATTGTGCAGTTCCTGGATGTGGATGGGCGAGGCTTCTTCGTGATCTGCTGGGGCGCCGCTGCTCTGTGTCGTCGTCCTCCTCTTCATCCAAGTACGCTGCACAATCCCAATCGTTGGTAGATCGTTTTACCGTGCGTCGCCTCATGAGTGTCTGGTCAATCAGATACTTCATCATATTTTTAAACGTCGAATCCGCCTTGAACTTCTCCGCAGTTGGCGCTCGGCAAAGACGTCAGGATTATGCATGAGACAATTAATAACCAAGATGTGAATGGACATCATTAGTACCGGGCCAACGGCGTTGAAGGCATCGGTGAAAAGATCCTCCACCCAAGGGTCAAAATTGATTGCTTTGAGTATCTTCAGCACATCGTTTGCAAGTCTGTGGAGTGAAACCCACAGGAGCAAGGTGATAAAAGCGATTTTAAGGGGGCTTAGACGCATTCTATAGGTCACTAAGTGCCACGTACACCTCCAGTTAGCCCCAAAAAGGTTGGCGTTGCGGTAATATCGTGCAAACAGCAAGAGTAACATGCCACAAGTATGTGGGGCCTCCTAAGCAGCCAAAACAACGAATTCTGTATTGCACATGCGCAATACTAGAACTCTCCGTAACTAGGAAACGTTTCAAGGAATCTCGGTAATGTTTGGCAGAGACACTCAGGACACTCAGGAGTGACTGTATATGAAATTTGAAGTTCTGTAGGTTGCTAACTGAAAGATATAACTGCAGTTACGTTCAAAAACGTCGTTCTTCTTCTAATATGGTCTTAACAGCGACGGTAACATTCAACAAAGAAATGTGCCTTGAATGATGTGACATTGCACACACACACAAGTGATATTCACTCTTACATGACAACTGTAAAGAAGGCATTTAAGAGTGATTTTCTGTAAAATTCGAACTTCGGTCTGACACGGCACCTCATCGATTTGGCTGATTTTTGGCATGTAGTCTTAGAATGGTGTCCTAAATACTGCATGCATATTCTAAGGTTCGAATTCTCGTTGGTTTCAAAGATACAGGAATGACAGTTTTGACGAGGCCTCGAGCGGCCGCCATGTTGGTGAACTGAAGGAGATTTACAGTAATTAATTCTAGCCTTATCATTAAAATAACTTAATCGTGACTCATACAGTTGCAAAGAACTATCCTTCCTCCTTTCATTTACCTACTCTTATCTGAAAATGGTTAAGCCTGAGCTACGAAAGGCTGTAACTTCTCACAGTACTTTTTCGGTACTTAAACGGTACACAAATTTGGTAGAAATTGGAAGGCCAATATCACCCATGCCACATCGATTTAGACTAAGCCATTTTAACTAAACATAGTTTGTTTATAGCTAAGTTAGATTGTTGAATAAAATAATTGGGCAAATGCAACGGAACAGAAATATGATTGCATGAATGCACAGTGGTTCAGCCACTTGGCCGCTAAAACTTCAAAACAAAATTCGGTGAATATTTGAAAAGAAAATTCTTTAAAAATTGATCGTGCCTCTTAAACCCTATCTATCGCTTAAAAAACCCTCCCTTGTAATGTAAACAGATGATCTTTTGATTCTGATCTTGCGAAGAGCTTGAAATATGCGCTAAAATGAAAATTATAAATTTTGTTACACACGGTACTAGCTCAAGTTCGCTCTTCGATTTCCCAGACCAATCGGGAGCCGCTCGTGTACTGCACAGTTACAATTTTCTCTGTAGTATTTCGCTGTATACAGCTACAAATTACATATTTTCTTAGGCAAAGATAACGCAAACGTTGTCAATTTTAATCAAAAGGCTAGAAAAACCAACCGTGCACTGTAGCTTTATGCAAATTGTATGGTATTCGATAATTACACGTGTGAACAGGAACCTACCTTTGCTAATGTAGACTGTTTGGCAGATCTTTCCAGCGTAAGATATAAAACTAGTACATGAAATGAAATTAAAGAACTCATCAAGTCAAATTACCTGATCGTACCGTCATTACTGAATAATAAGTCCGCAAAATATGACATGGAATGATCGGTGGGAGACGAAGCTATTTTTAGGAGGACAAGGAACTGCACGCTGGAACGGAACTGAAATGAACAACCGCAATCAAGTTCAGTCTTCTTGACGCTATTAAACGTTTCACCCGAATTTGAACAGGAAGTTGTTTTCTATTTTCTTTCTCATTATTGCATGTATTCTGCAGTTCGCCCACTATTTTTTCGTAACTTTTAATTTTCTAGCTAACTGGAACTTTTAAGAACTACCAACCCCCCTCCCCCCTCCCCCTCTTTGAGTGAACTTTCATTCGGTCTGATTCACAATAATTTTCGAACGGTGACAAAGTGATATTTGAAATGACATTTTATTTAGTATTTTTAAAAGCTCCTTCTTTTTTTCCCGATAGCCAGGAATGTTTTGAACGTAAAGGCTCAAGTGGCGGTGTTTTTCACAACTCTGCTTGTAGACTGACCTCACCACCAGTACCACGGACATAAAATCTGATCGGAGAGGGTCATACAGTAACTGATGGGTCTCTGAAAAGCGAAATGCAGTCACTTGGGGCGAGTAGGCTATATAGATGATGAACTCATTGTTTATAACCCCATAACCGTATCCCAAAAGTCGAGCCAGCCCGGGGCGAGCGAACACAATTTTGGGGCCACTGGCCACGCCCTTATGTTTAGCGGGAAATTGGTTGATTAGTCAAATCTCCTTAACTCCACGACCATGCACCTTTCCAAATATAGTCCTTCTTATCATCATATAGTTAGGGCCTCCCGTAAGCATTTGCAACTATTTTGATTTGTAGAAGACTGTTTAACAGTTTTCATTACTTTAATGTCTCGTAAACAACACGAGGTACATGTTCTGATCTCCCCCACCCCCAATCCATAACAAAAATTTTCAGACCAACACTGAATTGCATGAAGGTATGTACAAAAATATGACCATCTCGAGGCAAGGTTCATCACTGTAACTTACCACATAAAAGCCTTTTCGTTGTTTGCCATCGACTGATTCTGTTCTGAATACTAAGGTCCCATAAACAACGCCACGTTTAGAAAGAGCCCGCCCTTTTCAATCCAAGAAAACCCAAGTAGCGATTTCACCAACGGACATAAGCCGTAAGAAAAGGACCGCGTCAAACAGTTCATGAAATCACAAACGCCTCATGACACCTTTAATTTACTCTTTCTTCGATAAACTAATTTTTAATTTTTTAAGCATAAATGACATCAGAATGCGCGATTATGAGCATTGTAGCTTATGAAAAGAAAATTTAACACCTGATGCACATGAAAGCGTCTAAAAAGGGGACTAGGGGGAATTAGGAACATTGTGCTTACCGCTGGAAAAATATTGGCCTGTTCTTTGAATAGACTCAATTAAAGCCGTTTTTGTTCAGTTAGGAGCTGTTAGATGGGGGGAAAGCTACATAAAGTAGATCGCATCAGAATACGGCATAGGACTAGGCTCTCAAAATCGATAAGCTGAATTCAAGACCAATTATTATGTAAAACAGAGAAAAATTCCTTGAGGGAAAAAAATTATGGCTAGGGAAAAGACCCGAAGGTGGAAAGTTAGGATGGTAGCTTCTTTTCAGGTAATCGATCATTTACGTTAACTTCCGCTATCCGACGGGCATATCGGAAAGACTGAATGGATGAGAGTATAACACATTCAAGAAGAAACAAATTTGTGATTTTGCACAACTCAATAAAATAACTAAAATTGTGTACTACTCGGTTATACAAGATTTTTGTTTTCAATTTCAGATTTTTACGATGGGGCATTAGCCCCTGTACTCACTAGACACTACTTTACAATCATCGTGTTAAAATCAGTGAAAGACTCCAAAACAATTTGGATTCCTACCCCTATACCTTTATTAAAAATTAAAGTTGGGAAGTTTGTTGTTTTCTAAAAGTAGTTTGAACAGCCGAACGACATTTTTTTACACGGAGTGGGGAAGGCAAAGCTTCACTGATCTCTTCTAAGGTAGAAAGTGTCAGCAAAACGTGAGAGTCGTCCTTGAGGGTAAAGTGTCTAACCTAATTTTCTCACCGATTGCAAGTGCCATTTCATCCACGCATAACATCACCTAGTTAACAGAATTAGCAAATGTAGTGGGGAAACGTTGCGAGAGAACTGAGTAAGATGTTAGGGTAAGTTTTGGAAATTTTCCGCACACCTGGAAAGTCCTGGCTACGCTCCTGATAGAGACTTTTGCTGGAGAGAAATTGAAACATGTTCGCTAATATAGTGACGACCAGAAAGGACAAGCCATAGGATAGTTCCAGAAAACCACCCATTAAAATAGATCACGAAGTTGTCGCGGCGGAGGATGAACTTGAAGGCATCTGATGAATTGCAATTTTTCAAGGGAGCCCAGACAAGATTATGTACGATGGGCACAGCTTGTTTGATCTGGAAAATTTAGAGAAGCTCAAGGCAAATCGCTAGACAACACATGCTAGAGCTGAACTAAAAATCTTTTGCGCCTTTGAACTCTGTCCCTAAGGGTAAAGGAGAAAGTTTCCCTTTATCAATGCATTAACCGAGTTGATTATGAATGTCTCCTTATGTTGGACGTCTTACTAACAAGCACATTACCACTACTTGCCCTCAGAGGCGTTTTTCATTTGACGAGCAGAGAAAATTAGGTTTTGACTGTTTGAAATTCTGGATGCCAGAGTGAAGACGTCTTTTGTATGATGACGTCATCGTCCTACAGTAAAAAGCGTTCGTTTTTTACCACTGATATTACGTCAATCGGTACACGAAAGGTCCGTGAGCATGGTAAATGATTTTACCTTAAACTGCAGACACATCTTCAATCACTCCTTACTGTTCGCGATATCGGATAAACACTCTGGTCTCTAACTGAATTTTCTTTGCTGTTTACTTTATTTTGAATAAGGACTGTCTTGAGTTGTCCATGCATTGTCTAGCGATTTTAAGCTTTTTCAAGGAAACAAAAATCTGGAATTGTCCCTAGGGTGAGGCATTTGCGCACAGTTTTAAAGCCCTTCGGTGGGGTGACTGTGGTTTTTGCTGTCCCGGCTCATCCTCATTCTTCTTAACCCCTTCCAAACCAATTTTTCTGTTTATCAAGAATCTCCTCAAAACGGGCCTCGTGATTGAGACAAAATACCTGAAAATTGTACACGGAACCGTTGTTAACGGTGTACAAGGTAGAATGAGTCTATTCATTACTTTGCCAACGCCCAATTTTTAAAACCGGAAGTAATGATGTTTATTTCAAGGGCTCATGTCTCATGAGTTTTGAGTAAATCTTCAAACGCTGTAAACACATGTAGCTGGAACTATCATCGCATCGATCCTCGCTCACTAATAATGATAACTTATATCAACTTCCATTATTTATTGCCTGG